CAAGACTACAAGAAACAGAAACAAGAAGAATTTAAGTAAGTTGCTTTTATTTTGGATCTTTGGTAGTGAAGTTGGGAATTACCAAATACTAGAAAAGGGTGTAGGGAAAAGTGCGGCACCTTCTGGTACATCCTGAAGTGGTTGTCCTGACCCCAATCCCTGCCCCAGGGATGTTGCTTTCTGTAGTGTGGGCAAGTACCCTGTAGCCTTTCAGCTTACTAATACACAATTTAGCAGGCCAAGGTCTCAGTAGTGGCTTAGTAATGACTAAATGTGGGGGGCTTTATCTGGCTAGAATTTCTTATCTGGGATTGCATGGAATGAATAAAATTAGTGTGAAAATTAGGAGAAAAGGGAAGGGATGGAATCTGTGGGAGAAAAGTATGTTCCACAGACACTGTAAGTGCTTGTGTCCCTACTGTAGGGGCTGGAGGAGCAGACAGTGGGCCCCTGGGCCAGGCTCATTCTCCTGGGGCTCTGGCTTGCTCTCCCTGGGAGAGGAAACTTGTAGATTCAGAAGTGGAGGAGGACGGGGGCTGGGGAGAGATAGAACAGAAAGGGCTGGGGCTGGGGATTTAGCTCAGTGGCACAGCGCCTGCCTGGCAAGCGCAAGGTCGTGAGTTCGGTTCCCGGTACCGGAGAAAAACCAACCAACCAAAAAAAAAAAAAAAGAAGTGGAGGAAAGTGGCTGCAGCTGGCAATGGGATGGGGGAAAATAGTCTAAGGCTGTCATTGGTGTCGCAGTATAAGAAGACTGCGTGAACAACGCAGGCCTTGTTTCAGCAGAGCAGTGTGCGAGGCTGCCCTGGCAGCTGAAGCAGAGGAAACTGTCAGGGACTGTGGTAGACAAGGGGCTCAGGATTAACAGGACCCATGCAGCGGACAGATCTGGTGGGTTGTGGGAAGGATTGAGTTCACTTTGAGTTGTGAGGAGCCATTGGTAGCCAGGGTGGGGGTTCTGTGAACCATGGGTGGTGAGTTCTCAGGAAGCTTGTGCAGGCCTGGAAAGAGCAGTTAGGGGCTGCAGAGCACAGCAGTGCGTGCAGCCATGGCTCAGTTTCAGATGCACTTTTACAGTACTGCTGACATAAATATGGAGCATGAAGTTGGAATACGCTCACTGGAGACCCTGAAAGCTGTGAAGAGTAGACTCACACTTGTTAGGACACTTGCTAGGACCCTTTAAGGCTTTTTGAGCATGTGCTTGAGAAGCAGAGCAGGGGAACTGGCCTTGCAGGAGCTGTTTGGCTCAACAATTTAGGAACGCAGAGAAGAGGCAGCTATGGATGGGTGCCCGGTGGTCCCCGATGAGACTTCCTGTGGCACCCATTGAGACCTGTCCCACAGGTACCTTGGGGTGTGGCTGCAATTTAAAAGTCTCCCTGAGCCAGGCCTTGCCTTTTGGTCCAGGCACAGGACGCCCCTGTGCTGCACTCCCTCCTGGCTGAGACCTGGAGAAGAAAGTGAAGACTTGGGAAGCAGCAGGGGAGGCTGAGGAGGAAGGAGGGAAGGAGGAGGAGCGGCCAGGCCGGGCCAAGCTCACACAGCACAGCCCTGGCTGCCTCCTCTTCTCACCCGGCCTCAGAGCAGAGCTGTTCCACCCAGCGCAGGAAGCCGCGTGGTCACTTGTGTTCTTTTTTAAAATGTTTTGATTTTGTAAACTTAAAATTTTTTACTTTCCTTTCAGGCACATAGCAGTATTTCCCTGCAAGATGAAAATTCTCCCCCAGTATGTTTTCAATTCTCGAGATCCAATAGTGATAGGGGTGACTGTGGAAGCAGGTCAGGTGAAACAAGGGACACCCATGTGTGTCCCCAGCAAGAACGTAAGTTCCCATTGTCTTTAAAGAGTTTTGGGAGGGGGCGAGATGGGACACCAAAAAACATGGTTGAAACAGAAATGTTACCACAAGTGGTGCTTTCCACTGTGTGTCGTTTGTACCTCAGTATTGGCACATTACTGGTTAAAGGGGTTCATTCCTAGCACCTGCTGTCAGGGCCCGCCTTCCAGTGTCCACATTCCTAAGGAAAATCAGTAGAACGTGAGCCTTCCAGCTGCAGTCGTCACCCGCACGCAGTGCTTCCTCCTGAAGCTGTCCTCTCTGCTGGCCCGGCTCACTGTCCCAGCGCGTTTCCAACAGCCCCCCTGTGCTTTTCAGGTGTAGTCCAGCTGCTCTGCAGCTTATCCCTCCATTTGGATTGGTCGTCTTCACTAGATGCAGGTTAGAATTACAGCCACCTCACTGGCGTTGGTGCTGACCCTGAACTCCCTATGGAAAATGCTGAGACAAACTTTCCCCAGTACTTGGGAGTATTATTTCTCAGCCAAGCACCTCCATCGCTGTGACTCCAGTACCTACCTGCAGTCCGTAGGAGTCAGCACCCAAGTGGCTACAGAGTGTCTTCCCGCCTCCCTACTGAGGCATCCCGCATATGTAGCATTATGCTCTGTCTTCTGGACCGTTTACCCAATCTGGCTGTTGGGAACCCTCGCCGCAGGTCCCCTCCCTTTCCGGAGGTAACAGGCTGCTCCATACTTCTCTAGTGCTTTCCCCTGTGCAGCCCTGGATCCTTAAGAGGAAAATGGCACTTGGTGTCTTCTATTTCACTGGGTGGGCTGAGCTAGGACATTACCCTTAGCAGTTACCTCCTGTGCGGCTTTGGCTTGTCTACCAAACTGAGCTCTCTGTTGACTCTTGTTCCTCTTTCTCCACAAAGCAGCCAGGACCCCTTATCTCCAAGTTCCAGGATTGCATCACTCATGACAACTTGTCATTTTTTAATCTGCACCACGGGGCCCTGACTTCCTTTCTGATTGCTCTGAGCTCACTGCTAATTGAGAACCTCATTTCCGTTCTTAAGGGGCAGCTGTCCTGCGAGAGCGCAGAGTAGGACTGGAAAATGAGAGCGGGTCCACAGAGCACCAAGGTCTCATGTGTCCTCTCAGTCGTCTGTGCAGGATGGGGTGGCTGTGGGTGCAGGCCATCCTGCTACGGAGACACTCTGATGAACGCGGCCCACACCTCACGGCTGTAGAGGAGGCTGTAGGGCTGAGTTAGTAGTTCAGGTGTGTCTCTGCTGGGCAGGAATCCTGTACAGACATTGCGCTTGTCTCATTTTACAGTTTGTTGACATCGGAATAGTAACAAGTATTGAAGTAAACCACAAACAAGTGGATGTTGCAAAAAAAGGACAAGAAGTTTGTGTCAAAATAGAACCAATTCCTGGTGAGTCTCCCAAGATGTTTGGGAGACATTTTGAAGCTACGGACATGCTAGTCAGTAAGGTAAGTGTTTCACTGCAGTAGCAAGCATCCAGCGAGAGAAACTGAGCTGCTTTGCGTAGGTTACCTCTATCAGTAGCTCGTCTGGCCCTGTTGACCCGGGGCCTTCCCTAGGTCCTGTCTGTGGTAGGGCTTGGTCCTGGGTGAGAACGGTTCATGCTTCAGGCAGAGCAGCACCAACCGTGCCAGGACAGTGGATCCACGCCTCTCAGAGGTGGTGAGGACTTGGGTCCCCTTTCTTCCGCTTAAGCTTTCTGCGGCCCTGTTTGTTCATTCTGTTCACCTTGTCTGTGCCTCGGGCATTGCAGATCAGCCGGCAGTCCATCGATGCCCTCAAAGACTGGTTCCGAGATGAAATGCAGAAGAGTGACTGGCAGCTTATCGTGGAGCTGAAGAAAGTGTTTGAAATCATTTAATTTTTCCACATGGGGCAGGAACTGAAGTAATGCAATATTGTGTTGTAACACCACCACCGAGACAAGACAAAAATGGAACAGACGTTTGTGGACACGGATGGATTGAGGTGTATAAAATGTTTTCCATGAGAAACCAAGAAGCTTACACTGGTTTGACAGTGGTCAGTTACTCATCCCCACATCCCAGCTGCCTGTCCACCCACCATCCCTCTGTGCCCCACCCTTCTTCCCTACTCGGCTGCTGTTTTAAAGTTTGCCCTTCCCCAAATTTGGATTTTTATTACAAATCTAAAGCTCTTTCAATTTTATACTGATTAAATCAGTTCTGCAGTATTTGATTAACCAAGCTTCTGCAGATTTTGTGATTCTTGGGACTTTTTTGATGTAAGAAACACATCTATGCGTATTCCTCCACACTGATTTTTCCAGCATTCTTCTGCCATATACCCTTAGGAATTTTTAAATAGAAAACTAGGCTTTCTGATATTTATCTGCTTTGTGTGAAACCATGGTGTAAAGCATAGCTGGCTGCTTTTTACTGCTTGTATAGTCATGAGAGTCCATTGTAACCCTCCCAATTCCAAAATACCAATAAAGGAAAGAGACATTGCAATACCAGAAAGCTCTGTTAGGTTTCCATGTTAGTGTAGCTTCTCATCCTCAGCATGGGCTTCGCAGGATGAGGATTATTTTATACATGTCAACAAGAGGGACTTTTTAATTCTCTAAGATAAAAGACAAAAATTCACAGAATTCTATCATGGAGATCCTCATAAAGATACAAGTGGCAACAAACAGGAAACTATTTGGGTTTTGTGTTTGTGAGGTGTTGCAGATACTTAATTCTAGTAATCTGACAACAGCTAGTTGGGACTGTCCTGAGCAAAGTGGGTCAGTGTGAGCACATACTCTTCCCAGTTTAAGAAACCTGACAGATGTTATAACAGTTTAGGTCACTTCTGGGTGTTCTAAGAAGGAAAAAGCCTGAAGTATTCACTAGTATGAATTAAGAACTATGTATTTTTAACCATTTTATAGCACAGAGAAATGTAAGCTTGAAAATCTGTAAGTGTCCCTACATCCAAGTAGTAAACATGCTTCTCATTCGTGCTTGGAGACAAGGATAGGATGGCTTAGACGCTTTACCCTTTCCTGGAACAAGCAGAATCTTCATCTGTGACCACTCAGAAATTTCAGAGCCTGTAGCACTGTGGCCTGCTGAGTTCTCAGCCTTTTAAGTATGACAAGTACTAGGTGCTTCCTAGAGTTGAGTTTTTAAGGATTCACAAAAAAGGAGCCTATACAAAATAGACATACAGTTCTTTATTAAACAACTGTAAACACTTCACTGTAAAAATCCATAAAACTTTATAAACAAACATTTTGTAAATAGAATCTATACTACAGTAAAAGAATTAACACAGTTATTTACATGCAATACCGACAAATTTGGCACTTTTCGAAAACAAATGTACAAAACGCTTGCTTAAAAAGAAATTTAAAATTATAAAAACAGAGAGCATTACTGTCATGCACTTTGCAAATACCTCACAAGCACTTATGGCACAGCTAGCCAAGAGCACCAGGCTCCCTGGCACTATTTATGTAACTTTTAATGTGCTTCCATAAGTTTGTTGTAAAACCACCTGAACGTTGTCAAGAATAAAATCAAATGCCATATTCCAAACCGACTCCACCGACTGCTGCATCAACCTGAAGGTGAGGAGAGAAGAAATAATCAGGAACACTCTCTTTATACTAATTCCTGCTTCAGAATCAGGCATTATCCTCATTACTGCCTACTTGTTTAATTCGTAGAAGTTTTTTCAGGCCAAAAAGTAAAATCCTAGATAGGCCACTTGAAAGGAAAGGTATTTCCTATGATTTTAATCCATATTGGATTTGAAAGTTTTGAACTTTGTACCCTGTTGCCATTTGTGACATTTCTATTACATTCAAAAGAGCATTTTTAAAATTAACCCTGAAGAATAGTTTACCAGGAACTTAAACACCTGTTCCATGTACCCTTAATTAATGTTGACATGGCATTTTCCCCACCTTAAAAGAACGGAATGGATTCACCTTTTCATATATTTTATAACTAGATCCAGCTTTTCCAAATCTTTTTCCTCTATAAGATCAGTACAGTATTTCACAACTTGCAGAATGTCTTCTTCCATTGGATCTAGGGAGGGGAAAAACATCAAATGAGGACCAGCGTATGTTCTTGAAGGAGAAAGGCAGAGATCTGCAGGGATAAAGGACAACTGCCATTTCTATAGCTGTTCCACTGACATAAGAGCAAGCAGAACGGGCTACAGGGAGGAGCTTTTCAAAGAAACTCCTAGAACTTAAAACATGAAGGGAGATGGTTTAAGCATGTTAGAATTAGAAAACTTCAATCTGCACAGTCTGTTCATGCTCTCAAATCATAGGCCACCTGACACTGGCCACGCCAACCTGAGATCGTTGTTATCCATTCTCTGAGCAAGGTCTTCACATCATTAAACTCTATAGCTCCAGCTAGATTGGGTGCTGCAGGTCTAACACAGCTGGGCTGGTCAGGCTGCAAAGTAGACGGGCCTGGCACACCTGAAGTAGAAGCAGAGAGTTCTTCCTATTAAAGAAAACAAAGGACAAAAGTGCTATATTTACACAGTACCAGGCACACTAAGATCTGATAAAGGTGAATTTTAAAAGTATCTTCAAACAAATTACCAGTGGTTTCTCAGCAGCAGGTCCTTCATGTTTCAGAAACCCATCCATTAACTTCTGGGGGCTCCCACAGGCCCCTGGCGGAATTTTTGCAGGACCGTTAAGCTTATTTTTCAGAGGACTCTGAATCCTTTTTTGGGGATTGATGGGAGTTTTTTTCTTGCTTTTCTTATCTTTCACTGCTACTGGCTTCAGCTGAAGTGAAGGATTCTTTGGCACTGAAAGAAGAGGGGTGTGGACCCTCAACAAATGCGTCTGGACAGTCCCATGGGCTTTCTTCCTCCCAAAACCACCTTCCCACTTTGCACTGCTTCCACCCACCCGAGCCCCCAAACCCCTGCTAAGAGTGGGAGCCTTGCACAGCATGGCTGAAAGGGCAGGCTGCACCACTCTGCCTCGACTCTGCAATCACTGAGCTTACCTTGGGGGCCGGTTCCCCAAAAAGGGGGCAGGTAATAAGGATTAAAAGAAAACTGAACAAGTACTCAAAGTAGTGCCTTCTGCACTGTCAGCTCAAGAAATGTTACAGTAAATGTAAGTTTGAATGTGTGAAGCTTTGAAACTTTGAGGCCTGCATCCTTTGGTTCAAGTAACAGTATCAAAGGACAAGTAGCTTGCTAAGTGCTCTAAGGTCACTGAGTCTCTGTTTTAAAGTCTAGAATACAGGTACTATTCCATCGAGGACCACGCCACCCCTCAGCCCCATTGTGCATTTATCATGCTGTGTATTCTCCAGACAGAGCCCTTAACAGGATGGCAGCACAGCAGGGATGCCACCGCTGCTCCTCCAGGACTCGCCACTCCCCCGGCTCACCGGATGCACTGGCGGGCTGCTGGTGAGTGGTGTCCTCTCCCTGCCTCTGTCTTTGATCATATGCTGCTTTCAGCTCCTTCTGCAGCTCAGCAGGAAGGGCTGCAAACACCTCAGGGTCCACCTAGTAGAAAAGGGAAGGTGAAAATCAAACCTGAGTTCACTCTAGATAGCAGCCAGCTTAAATTTCTCACAGATTAGGTGGTTTTCAAATCATACTTTTCTGATCTGTATGAATTCTTCATGGGCCCTTAATATCAAAGCTCAAAGAAACCTCAGGGTGACAGTAAGGAATTAAATGTGATTACCAGTTGACTTTCAAGTAATACCACTCCAAGGGACAATCAGGGAAATGCACGTGAACAGAAGACACAAGAAAAAGCAGCAGGGCCACAGGGTGTTCCTCTGTTCACCTTCCCCACCCGCTGCACTAGGGCTGATGCTGGGGCACGGTGACTGCTGTCTTCTGGGCAGTGTACACACCCACACTGCCCCCACCCCCGTTAGCAAACTCAGCTGCTTCCAAACAAGGCGTATGGTCAGTCTGTGTCCTACAGATGCAGTGGGGTTGAGCCAAGCCGTCCCCTGCCCCTCCCTGAGGGCCGCAGTATGAGCTGTTGGGCTCTGGGCACAGAGGGGGAAAAGGGAAATGTGCTGGAGAGCAAAAATACTTTATGGCAAAAGGTCCCTACATTTAACTTACCTGTGAAAATGCCGGAAGGGCTATGATGTTTATTCCTGTGTCACTATTTGATTCTTGAGGTTCTGGTATCTGCAACAAAACTGTCCCAACTGGCTGTGGCAAAATTCCTGTATTACAGCCATTTACTGGTTCTCTCTTTCTGTCACCACGTGCCTCTCCTTGCTGAATGGCACAGACTTGCTCTATCTGTTCCCGGAGATCAGATGGAAGTGCTTCTAAAACAGACTGATCAAGCTACAAAATAGCAAAAAACGTGAGCTTGAAGTGAGTATGTGCTCTGGGATGAGGTGTATGGGAAGTGACTCTCTTAAGATAATGAACATAAGGTGCAGGCCAGCAGGCTAGAAAAGCTACCATTCCCTGAAAGCAGCACATCTTTGGAAGTGTCCTAGCCTTTTACCATAGAAGCCTGAAGCCATGCACAAGTCTGGAGATTTCAGTGTTCGCTGCTGTCCAGTACCAGGTCAAGTAGGTCCTAAGCACTCGTGGAGGAGCTCTCAGCAGGCACGCACTCATGACAAGAGCCAATGTTAAGTGTCTAGGATAGGGAACAGTGCTGGGTCAGAAACTCACCTCTAAGACGGAAAACTGCAAAAAAATACAAATGCAGTGGTGCCTCGGTTCACAAACTTAGCCGCTACGACTTTGGAAAAGACGGCCATGTTTGTGTTTGTGTGACAGTCATGGTCACGTTTGTGACCGGCGCAGAGTTTGCAAACAAAAGTAGTAAGCTGAAGCGGTCTGTAGAAGTAGATCTGAAGTAGGTCTGAGGTAGATAGCTGAAGCTATCTTTTCTCTGCCTGAATACCAGAATCCCCTGCTGCCCGACAGGCCCTCTGTCTGTGTGCACACCTCGCCCTTCAGAAACATGCACTCACAAACTGGATAGCCAGCCTTGCTGGGAGCACCTATTTCTAGTTGTTACTGGCAACTGGGCTCCACTGCAAGCATTTAAGAATTGCTCCTTTCCCTAGTCTCATAGCCAGAATTTACATCTCTTTCAGCCTCTTTCCAGGGGCAATGGAGGGGATTACAAACCTCCCTGTAGAGCTTAAAGTGCAGTCTTCTCTTCAAGGAATGCCGTTTGCCAACAGGGGCCACATGCATGCTGTAGGTTCCCACCCTTTGAAATGAGTCTTCCAATTTAGTATACAGATCACCACAGCTGCTTTCTTGAGCAGAACAAGTCCACGTGACACTGATGTCACAGGCAGTGGCTGTTCCTAGGGGACTGCCTTCAGATACCCTTTGTGCCTTGCAAGAGCTGCAAATCTTGACAGCAGCTCTTTTGCTAAACCCCGTCACTGCTCACTTAGAATTCAGCAACATCACAGTTTATCCTAATAACTGGCCTTGCTGTCACCATGTGGCTCTTCTTCTGTGCATATGTTGGTGTATAAGCCATTTTTCTACTACAGAAGTTTTATGTTTTTAAGATATAAAAAAATACCTGGGAAGGTGATGGGACCTCTATACTCAAGTTAAGTCTTGACTGCACGGTGACAGAAGAATGCAGACCGTTCCATTTCCGGCAAGAGTCGCCCTTATTACTGTCAGCACTGACAGTGGCTGGCAGATTTGTAGCAAAGGATGGAGAGAAAGTGCAAGTTCTGGGAGCAACAGATGATGCTTCCATGTCCACAGCAGCCAGAAACACTGCAAGCACAGAACATACCGAACAGCCTCTTCAGCTCATCTGAGCAAAGAAAACCTTTAATCCCTGAACAACTTCCCTGTCTACTCCCTGCAAAAACCTTGACTAGATTCACTGTAATCAAAGTGTAAACCTCTTTAAAACACAAAACCATCACACACAGCCATGCCACTCTGAAAATCAACCGGCACCCCCAAGGATGTAAGCAGCACCGAACGAGCCAGGCTGACCACCACCGACCTTCCTTGCTCTCCTCCTCTGTGGGTTTCTTAGCTTTGTGAACTTGGAGGAGATCACGAACAGAGTGTGACCCATCAGGAAAGCGGCCTGACTGAGCCGGTGCACGACTGGAACATGCGGAAGGGTTCGGATTAGTAGGAACCAACTGATTCACTTGAATCCCAACCTAGAACCAGAATAAAGAGTATTTTTCTAGGAAAACTAAAATGAAAATGTGAACCCTATTAAGCAGAATTTTCAGCTAATCCTTTACTATCTTCAAAATCATGTTTTATGAATGGGATATGATGTATTACAAAAGCTACTTCTACGTGAGCTATTAATGCGTTCACGAGGGGGCTGTAATTCCTATGTCTCAATGCTGGGCGTCCTGAACCACGAGTAGTACATGCATGACTCTCATCGGGCAGCTTTTTATTAACTAGTAAAAAGACTGAAAAAAGTGATTAGATCCATTTGGTTCAAGCCATCCGGTGGGACCGCCATACATGTAACCACATTGGTGCTTCAAGTTGGTGGGAATGTGCTCAGCAGTTACTCTTCTTGGTCTTATAAATATCCAGTTTAATGTCACGTATTTTTAGAGAGCCATACACATGGAATACTGCATTCTACTAAGGCTGTACCCTACGTATGCCCAAGGCTGCAGTTTTGTTTTTTTTTTTTGGCATGTAACTCGTGTTATGTTCCATTATTTGTGGCGTCCCAAAAACGGAAACTAGGCATAAATAGATTGAGAGTGGGATTTAAAAAAAAGAAACCAGGTCTGGGGCTGTAGCTCAGGGGGTAACGCACATGCTTGGCATTCGTGAGGCCCTGGGTTCAATTCACAACACGCCCCCTGCTTCTGCAAGTAAGGGACAACCTACTTGCAAGTCTGCCTAGTGCTTTTCAAATAAAAGATGAGCGTGAGCAAGCAGGTACACTGCAGAACACCTCCTGCCACAAAACTAAGCAGTTTTCCAGAGAGACGCTTCCATTACATTGGCATAGTGACTTACCCTTCAATAAAATACACCCAAGCCAAAAACCCCTTAAATCACTTGTGCGTGCACAACTAAGCCTGCAAAGGTTAATCTTTTAAGAGAGAATCTTAAGTTTTGATGCTTTTCCTGCCTTTTGCTCTAAGGCTCTACGTGATCTATAGTTGCCCTCCCTTCTTGATCATCATATTTCAAGTTTCTGATTAAAAAAAAAAAGACCTCAAAGGTACAAGATTTACAGATTCACAGTCCTCACAGTTCCATCTACTAGTGGAGACGAGAATAGAAGGAACACGGTAACCTACAAAAAATTAACCCTTCATTAGTTAAAAGTATATAAAACTTGAGGAAACGCCTACGAAAAATTATTCTAGGCTGAAAAGTTTTCATACCAAATGTGACTCTTCTCAAGACTAAAGAAATAGGAAGTTGGGTTTTTCTGTTTATACATCAAAGGAGCTAGACCCACACATAAAATACCAACATCCCACCAAGACCAGTCTTAGTTCAGCTTGAAACCTTACAGAAAGAATTTTTGAATGTTACACACTTACCCCTCTCATATCCGATATATTTAGTTTCATTGTATGAAACAGGTTTAGTGTAGCCTTTCCAATTATTTTTGCACTATCTGTTGCCTGGTCAAGAGTTACAGTCCTGTAAGCGACAGAATTACTGTTTTAAAGAAACAAAAGCTACATTCTATATATATTCGCTAGTACCTCAGTAGTATGGAAGAGTTACAGAAAAATAGCACATTTTATATTAGACAGGTTTATAAAAATAAGACAGCAGCATCCCTTATAGGAAGCCAGTAATACCAAATGAATTACAATGGCAACAAACAGGATAAAAGTACACAACAGTGGGACTTTAATGTCCAACACTAATGGAGACCTGGTCAGCTAAAAGTAAGTTGAGAAATTTTAGAGAATGACAAATTTTAGTTAATGTGTACAAACATACGTATGTTGCTATGACTGCATGAATGCATGGTGATTACAAGGCTTCAGGTTCCAAGGGAAGTTTTAGGTTACAAGATTATGCTGAGGTACAATTAATACTCATAAGCAAAAGTAAGTTTTCTGTGTTTTGGCTCTTTCATTATGTTAAAGCCACTGACCAATTCTGACATTTGAATATGCTTATTCCATACTGCTTTCTCAAAAAGGTTTTTATAAATGGATCAAAAGTGTGTGGCCCCTAAGACAAGGGAAATGGCAACAGTCTGCTAAGAACCAGACTAGAATAAACGAATCCTGAATCTTTACTCTTGAAGGAGAGCCAGAGGATCTGCCAGAACTGTCAGGTACCGCAGTACCCCAAACCCTCTTTCCCTGGGGCCTTTTTGGCTTCTCTGGCATAAGCCAAGTATCCCACTGGAAACAGAACTACCAATTCAGTAATACATTATTACTACTGGTCTTTCCCCAAAAAGACACAATGAACTGAAGAAGACAACTATATTATTCAGAAAGGACCTAATAACCAGTTTTTTTAAATAGAAATGACCATTAATACTTAAACTACCATTTGAAACGTGTATCACTTACAAAAGTAAATATTGCACTCCAAGAAGTTACAGGCAGAAAAATGTATTTCATAAATTATGTTGTTTAGTTTGTATTTCCTGTTTTCCAAGTGAGCAGATGTATTAAGCAAACAGGAGCTTCTATGTTTGAAAGCAGTCATCGCAGGGTGCAGCAGCATCACTGTTTGACTGTGTGTACAGTTAATAAAACTGATAAACTCACCTACCTAGCTTTCACTGTCTTTAACATGTTGATTTAACAGACACAATACAGCAAAGTGGTAAGATGGCATGCAAATCCAAGTACTTGCGTACTGGTCACATATCATATGCAATTTAACACTCACATCAAAAACTCAGGGTTTTAAAAAAGTGCTGTCTACCTTTTGCCCAAGTACTAATGGGGAAAGTCTCAGTGACTCTTGAGCCACAACTGCCCCCTTGGTCTACAGATCTGCAGTCTTTCCCTTCTTGTCTGTCTGTGCCCTGTTGCTGATAGCCTGGAGATGCCCAATGAAGGGTGAGGAAACCATACAGGCCATGCTATGTGCCTGCAACCCTGAGTGCTGTGGGGTTCAATGTGGTTTGTCCCCCAAGGGTCCATGGTCAGAAGCTCAGTCCTCAGGGAGGTGATGTGAGGGGTGAGGCCTTGTGAGAAGAGCTTGAGTCACTGAGCCCTCAGAAGAAACTGGCTTCATTCTCCCTGGACCCCAGTCAGTTCTGAGAGAGGGCTATTACCAAAGACCAGTTCTGCGCCTTCTCTAGCCTCTCACCTTGGGACCTGTCCTGACATGCGCGGCCCTGTGACTGACACCTGCTGAGCGAAGGACAGAGGGAGGACTCACAAGAGCCAAGCCAATGACAGTGTCGGGCCCCTGGACCTTCAACTCCCGAGCTAACCTGTTCTTTACAGAGCCCCAGCCTGGAGTACTTTGTTACAACAGAGGAAAATGAACAAAAACCATGAACCTAAGACAAGATAAACTTACCGGGCAACATTATCACAAATGCCATGGCCTCCAAATTTTGCAGTCTCTACAGGGGCCCCTGGCTTTCGTACCATGATTTTGAGAGTCAAACGTTTACCCTTCATGCCAGCAGCCTCGAGGCGTCTTTGGATTTCTTCTGAGAGGTTTAGAAGGAAAGCTTCTGCCTCTTTTGCCTATGAGACAAACATGGAAAAACTTCCATTAATACCTCAAATACCTACCAGTTCTCACTATCTGCACATTTAGTAGCCAGCATGTCTTTTACTTCTTATCCTGAGCATCTATTAAAAATATGCTGTCTGCGTTGAACTACATGTTAAATAAAAATATCCACCTTCCACAAAAGTGAAAGCAATGAGAACAAAAAGGCCTTTTTCCTTTCTTGCTGTTCCTATACCATCAATGACCTGCCGAAATTCTTTTGGATTTTTGATCTTATTAAGAAATTAAATTTTACTAAAAATGTTTGCTTTCTCCTATTCCTATGTCCAAGCATCCTTTCCATCCTTAGAGAAACAAGAGCTGATGAGTTTTAAAGAGCAGGCACTCATCAAATTTCAAATCCTTATTCAGATGTTTACTGATCCAAATCCAAACATATTCTGAAGGAAAATAAAAACAGGCAATCATCAGAGGTACTACTATCGAGGTGCATGAAACCTACTTGTAACTACAGCTTAAATCTTTCAATACTAAAAACATTTCTAGGCTGGGCCTGGTGGTGCATCCCTATAATGGAAGCAACTCAGAAGGCTGAGGCAGGAAGATGGCAAATTTAAGATCAGCCTGGGAAACCTAATAAGACCCTGTCTCAAGAAAAGAAAAAAAGGACCAGAGCTGTAGTTCAGTGGTCCAGGGCTTACCTACACATACACTCTACCCCCAACTTAATCCTCAGTATGGAAGAAGGAGGTGGCAGGGGGAGAAGAGACTACCTTGGTTTTTTTTATTCTAACTTGGAAATTAGAGTAATTATGATCATCCATCTCTCCCCCAAAGCACAATCTTTTACTAGATTTCCCTATGGTCTAGGTTTCATCTATCTTATCTGGAGCACTTCCTTCCCATGTATTTCCTTAAATTTTATAGTTTTGTGGTAGTACTGGGTATTGAACCCAGGGCTGTTCCACTGAGCTATACCCCAACCCTACTCTCACCCCCTTTGATTTTGAGATAGGGTCTCTAATTACCCAGGTTGGCCTCAAAGTTGCAATCCTCCCGCTGCAGCCTCCCAGACTGCTGGGATTACAGGTATGTGCCATATGCTTGGCTTCAAATGATCTTTTTAAAGCTCTGGGAATACCAACAGTTCTAAGATTCAATTTCAAGTAGCAACAGTTTTATAGACTAGGCAGAGAGAAAAAGAACACAGGGTAAAATCTGTTACCTGGGTAAACCTAATCCCATAGTTGATCTCAGCTGAAATTGATTTCCTTTCCTTTTCAGTTCGAACCGGTCTGTCATCCAAACCACGGCAGAACCTGTACAGTGTCTGACCTATTTTGGGACCAAATTCTTTTTGGAGTTTTCCCATGGTCATGTGCTGCAAATCTCCACAAGTTTTAATTCCCAAAGATGTCAACTTAGATTCCATTGACCGTCCAATGCCTAGGAAAAGAAATAGTTCTTTAATTATGCAGGATAATAAGCTATTAATAATTTAGCAATAAATACCTACCATTTACATACAAAACTAAAGTTTTATCAAAATGATGTAATATTTACTTAAAGACAGGGTCTCTCTTTGTAATTCAGGCTGGTCTAGAACTCACTATGTGGCATAAGCCGGCTTCGAACTCACAGCAATCCTCCTGCCTCAGACTCCCAAGTGCTGGGATTACAGGCGAGCGCCACCACTCCCAGTCAGTGACTTTTATTTATTAATGATTGCTATCATCCAGAAAATCAACTAAACAACAGACTTGTGTTTAAACAAGTCTATGGTGTAACTGACTCACAGACATACAGAAGTACCAGATGTATAGAATGTCAAGGACTCTATGATTCTCTTTTTGTTTGTTTTGAGACAGGGTCTCGCTGTGGATTTAAGCTATCCTTGAGTTCACCATGTAGCCCAGGCTGGCCCTGAACTGGTAATCCTCCTGCTTTAGCCTCCCAAGTGCTGGGACTATAGGTGTGCACCACCATGCCCTGCTGGGACTCTATGATTCTGATGATTACCAAATTTCACGTTGGCTTGAGCCACATTTTCTTAGAATAAGAAATAAAATTTACAAACTAGGCCCAAACTGAAAACGTAACTTAAAACCACAGTGAACAACAAAGTGGCAGCAAGAGGGAGACAGGCCTATTTCTTTTATGAAAACGACGACTCACTCAAAAGGTGCCATTAACGTGCCTACAGCTCTGTAGCAATGCAGCTGTCCCTACATCCTCCTGGGTCCTGAGAGGGCTTCAGTGGCAGTGACAACAGTCCAGGTTCTGCAGGAGAACCTGTGGAAGCAGCACTGTATACACCTTTACTAACCTTTTAGGTTATTAACTTTACAAAAGATCTATGACATGGAGAGGAGCCAGACAAGTTCAAACCAAGATGACTTACTTATTGCTTATAGAAGTTGGATGAAAGGTTTAGAGTGCTGGCTCCCATCTATGCCATTTTAAAGTGCAAGTCAGGACGAGGAGCATGGAAGAATCCCAGAGGCTGGACTGACCATGAAACCTATGTGCACCACTCCCAAGATGGCCCAGCCTGAGGGACTGGACGAGTCACCACGAGGCTGCGCACAGGCAGACAGACACTTTGCAAGGGTCTGTGTGCTCAAACACAGACCCTTTACTTTTCCCCTCTCACTGTTCTTTGCCCTCACTCCCACAAACGACCATGATACTCCCTTATAGATCTGGGGAGCCGATCTGTTCTCTAGGATCATAACCTCGGAGTAACCATGTGTACAATGCTGGGGTGGAAACCCCGTTTTGAGAGAATCTTGTAAGAGAATTATAATTCACCGATAGGTACAAAAACAAAGGCTACTATTTTAAACATCATCAAATTAACCATAATTTGCCTAATGTAACTGAATTTTTCATTCTTTGAGTCAGGGTCCTCCTAAATAGCCCAGGCTGGGCTTGAACTTGTAATATTTTTGCCCTTAGTCTCCCCAATGCTAGGATTACAGGTGTGCACTATCATACGAGGCTAAGCAGTAAGTGTCAATGTAACATATGTAACATATAATCATTCTTACATTAATGTAACACAAAATCATTCTTAGTTTCCCTAAGATAGAAACTCACTGTTGTGTTTTTCCTACTTATGTAGCTATTCTAATTGTTTATTTAGCACATTATGTGCTTAAAAACATTTATGGGCACACGGTGACTGAAGAGAGGATGTGGGTGAAGGAAGTGATTAGTGAACTTCTTTTGGTTATTGTTTCAGAGAACAAGGTTCCAGAAGATACAGTAAGTACTATTATATCCTCATCAAATACCTTTGGCAAAAATAAATAGGATTCTTTATTATGAGTCTCAGAAGATGTATTGCATTGGGCCTTGCACCACAGAAGGTTCCCACATGTACATGAAACCGCCCCCAGGGTCTCACTATGCAGTTTGAGCTGGCCTTGAACCAGCAGCTATCCTTCTGTCTTACACTCCTAAGGGTTGGGATACACGCATGCACCTCACCTGGCCTATGAAACCCCTTTTTAAATGAGCGGTTTATATTCTGTAGGACATACTTTGGGAGAAGATAAGACTACAATATCGTCTTCAGGACAGGGGTAACACTGGAGAAGGCTGACGTTTCCATACCTGAAATATCCTGAATCAGCCAGATTAAGAATTGGGGAATTTTATAGAAGTCAATAGTGTCAACACATGAACCACTCTGAGCGGTGTATGACTGGACCTAAAAAACAGAAGCAGTAGCCAGTCTTGCTGCCCTTTGTTTTTGGACATCACTTAAATTCAAGGCTATGCCTCGGTGTTTAGACAGGACACATGACCTCACACTAGCCCTTTAAGAAACGAAGTTTTTCCAGCCAGGAAGCAAATGGAGGTGAATGGTAGCATTACTAAGTCAAGCAGTTAAAAATTCTTTCTGCTTTTAAGAACTTACAGTTTAATTGGAAGTATGTTGTTTTAGATTAAAATGTGTCTTCCTAAAACTCATGCTGAAGTCCTAGCTCCTAATATGGCCCTGCGTGACTCTCCTTGGGCAGTGTTTAAAGAGGAAATTCAGGGAAGGTCATGTGCATTAGCCTTCACCCAGCATGAGCGGTGCCCTTCTCCAAAGCGCAGGGCCCCATCTTCACAGGGGGCAGCGTGTGAAGACAGAGAGAAAAGCAGCCTCAGGTCAAGGAGAAAGGCCTTGATGAGGCCCAACCTAGTGGTGCCTTGCTCCGCCTTCCAGCTGCCAGAGCAGAGTCCACGCATTTCTGTTGTTTAAGCTGCTTGGTTACAGCAGCCCTAGCAAACTAAGAATTAGCCAGTAAAGTCATCTTAAAATGACATGTGGCTAAACAATGGTTCCAATCTAAAAGTGTAAGATTTGTTATTCAAACTGTTTAAATCCTGCTGTCCAAGAATTTGCTAGTTTGATTTCGTAAGGCTATTGTTCAAGTTAAACCCTAAACTGCATAGAAATATCATTATTTCGTATTTTCCATGTGAATATACTATTCTGTGTTAGTATTGCCATTCAGTGGCATTTGGGTCACGTAACATTTTATGACCTATTACAGGAATTTCTATTGTTTAGATACACCTTTATTATAGTTAAAATATGCATCTAAAATACTCCTAAATGTACTTCTAGCAAATTTTAAAACTTTGATTCTGAATGTGCACAGGGGGTGCAAGTATGGCTTGGTGGTAAAGCCCTTGCCTAGCAACATGCAGGCAACCCTAAGTTCAATCCTCAGCACTGTGAGTAAAACAAAACAAAAAAAATGTACATGGCAACTTTGCATAACTGACACAGCCTGCTTTACAGCAAATAGACAATTATACACAAAAGCATAAAATAACTAAAATCCTGCCCTTGGTCCTGAGAACGGTATTACATAGAAGCTTTCTTCAACATCTAGAGTCAAAAAACCACAGTATTTCATTGGTAGGTTTTATTTTTCCTAATACAGTTCGTACATTTTCTACTTTTTAAATTGTTTACTAAACTCAGAAAACTCTCATGAGATCCGCAGCATGACTTTATTTTCTAGTGGGGCTTTTCCTCATGTCTCTTCCAGCATAATCTGTTTCCTTTTTCACCAGTGCTGGAGACAAAAGCTAGGGCCTCACACATGCTAGTCATTTGCTCTGCACTAGCAGTGTGATTTCACAAACAGGAGAGCCAGCCAATGCCTGAAACTTTATCTGTGGCCTAGAGGTACCATACTTAAGCTATGGTTTATTTAAAGGACCAAAAGTCAGTTTCATCATAGTCCATTTAATATTACTTCTTACAGTCCTTGGCCTTGCTACTTAAGAAATAAAAGTAAAATCCATTTGCCACAAAACTAAGATACCAATGCAGATCCTAATAATCAATTGAGAGGATAATCATTATAGAATTTGATTTTGTTTTCCAGGACATTTAATATCTTTTCTAAAAGACTCAGATTAAGAAACCACTTTGTGCCAGATAAAAGTTTAATGTACTTACCTGGTAGATTAACAACTAGCTGACCTCGAATAAAATCATCTACTTCTTCTGGTTTTAGGTGGTACTGCCCATCTGGTTTTGCTTTTCTAGTTGCCATTCTAGCCAGGAGAATATTAGATCCTATGAAATTGAAGAAAAAAATGTTTATAATCCACAATTAGCTTTTAACTTTTTAACAAAGACATCTATCTATAGACAGGTATGTTTCATATCAAATTTTTTACACTAAAAATAAATACACAGTCTTGATCATTTCAAACAAGACACCTGGCAGAGTTTGGTTAGTTAATCCAGATTGCAGCCAACACGGTTGCTAAACAAAGGTTTTGTTCTAATCCAAGGGCCATCTCAACATGTACTTGGGAAGTCACACAGAGAAAGCAGCCTGACTGTAGGAGTGAAAGATCAAAATGTCACTATTTTTTCCCACTATGGGATCTAGGCTGCCTAGGGAAATGAGGCTATAGGACAGGGGAAACACAGCCCAAATGGAAACAAGAACATGTGTGATGACCCTGAGAGCAGGTGAGACTTCAAAACACAATTAAAGGCAACAGAGGCCCGAGGTGTGGGTAGGAGCCCAGCCACAAAAGCAGCAGAGGCGAGGCTACTGGGAAGAGCCAGGCAGGTGGGGTGGCATGTGGTGGGGTGTATACAGGACTGCCACTCTGCACAGGGACCTTCTCTGTGAATCTCCTCTCCCACACACCACGGAAGAGCCCTATCAGGGAGATGGGGAAGACTTAAGAACAGCTATGTATTTTCCTATGGCAATACACACGTGGGAGGAGAGAAAGTTACACCAAAATGACGAAGGTGCTAAGTTTTAGGGAAGGAACGAGTATGCAAGCATCACATGGGATTTTAGCTTTAATTATATGCTTCAATTTAAAGACTGTACTTATACTATCACTTAGATTAAAAGTAAGTACAATTAAAAACAAACAATAACCAAACTGTCTGGCACTGGAACAAAGAAGGCAAGTCCTAAAGGAAATGTGGAAAGGACCCATAAACCCAAAGCAGAGAGTAACAACAGACCAACCAGGACCTGCAGGGACAATGCCAAAGTCCTAATTACACTGTTTCTACTGCCAGAATCTTGTGATGTTCCGGCACCTTAAAATCTTGCTGGCTGAGGAGACTGGCTGCCAAGTAGAATCTTGCATCCTATATGCAGGCCAGCCTTTCCTAACTACCTCCTCCCTTCAGTCACCCTGAGTCCAGGTACTGAGAAGCACATCAGGGACCGACAGCCTTCCAGGGTTATTCAAAGCAGCCAAACCCAACCTGCTTTCTCTGACTGTCTTGCCTTTCCCAAAAGAACCCCGGGCACTGGCCTCAGCCTCTGTCAGGACCTTCTTGTCATCGTGGGAGGACCCCCAAAGCCCTGCAGCATGGTGCATCCCTCCTCTCAGGAAAGGAAGTGACCAATTCTCCTTTAGCCTCATGAAATGTGGTCGGTCACCTGTGTTAAGGCCCATGTGTACAAAGGCACAGGGAACTGCAGAGGAAGAAGGGTTTCTAAATGGAGGAATCCTTGCTCAGAGTGACAATGGCAAGCCAAAAGAATGTTACCTCCACCTCCTAAGCCTATGGCAAGAAAAGGACTAGCTGGGAAGTAGGCAGGCACTGAGTAGGCCGAGAGAAAGGAGGCAGAGGGAAGCTTAGGAGGGCATGGCTGGAAGTCAACAGAAGGAGGTAAGGCGGTGGAAGTAGCTGAGGAAACACAGTGGGCTCTGCGGTGGAATGGAGAGAGGCTGCAGGCCGGTGACCTTGGCACCGAGGCAGGAACGGCTGCCTGTTCCCAGAACTGAAGGACAGAGAGCAACGGGCTCATACACTTCACTCCAAACCCCACATTGCTGTGCTGCTTTTAAGACACCTTCTGTTCACTTTTGAAAATAAAAACTGTTTACAAATCTAACCCAGCTTCCTCCAATTTTGAGGAATAAGTAAGAAATATTCTAATGTGTTCAACTGCATTTTGATCATCAACCATTTATTTCAATTTTCAACACTTTTATCTTATGTACTGCAGAGGTACAAGCAGGGGAAGACCCAACTATGCAACGTGCAGAGCATATGTGTAAATGACTCTTTACACCAGTGACTTTCAAGGGTCCTAACCCAACTACTTTGAGTAATGAATAGTACAAATTAAGCCAGATTACTAACCAATTCCAACAGAGGCAGCACATTTAGTCTTGTCTTTGATTTCCACACGAACAGCATTTGCAAATTCATCAGGAGTGAGTTTTGTCTCTGCGAGGATCTCGGTGATGTCTACCAGTGCTTCATCGCAACTGACGGCTTCGATGCTGTGAGTGTAGCTGCCAACACAAAGCAAAGGCAATGAATCACAGCCGCAGCTGCCATCTGGTAGGCACAAATGTTGCAAAGTAACGTCTTCTTATGCTATCTTTCCTTAACATTTCTTCACAAGGCTCAATACTAAAGAAAGCAAGCATTTAGATGAACTGGCCAAAGGGCCACTGTTTAGCCCCCTAACTTTTGACTGCAAAGTTAATTTATGTGTTCTCTTTCTCATATTAACTATTAAAAACACAGAAGAAATTATCATTCTAATTTGTCTATACTGAGAATATACTTTTGTAAACCTCTGAACAGTTGCAAAGTGGTGGATGAATTTCAACTGTCAAAATATTTAATCTAAGAAAATTTCAACACTATTTATAAGAAAACTTAAAAAACAGAAAAATTATACAAATCAGTCCAATAAATAAATTGCCGCTCTTCTAAAACAAAAAACCACACACTTAACTACTATTCACAGGAGACCTGGGATGCAGGGGTGCTGCAGCACAGAGTGGCTGATCACCCTGAGCGCAGGTCTAGCAGACTCCTTTCTACACGCCACCACACGCAAGTCCCTTTCTTTGTTTTATCGTGCTCCATGATTTACCCACATTAAGAACGTGTTTTAATTAGCTAGAGAAGAGAGGCAAAGGAAGGCAGGAGTTGAAATGTGGTTCCAATGCTAATTAAACACAAAAACTGTGAAACCACAAAACAACTGCATCAGAAATGGGAAGCAAACAGAGGCCTCACGACTAAGAATGTGTCCTCAATAATCCACCTGGTAATGCGCATTAGAAGGGCCAGCATCATCCCCCACCTAATCCTTACTGTAAAACGTAGATCAAAATCTACTTTTACGGTTACAAAGTACACCAAGATCTCTATTCATTCAAGAAACGAGTAGGTACTGTTTAGGATAAAATAAAAAGAACAATTAAGAACAGAAAAGTATACCTGACAAAAGCAGTGGAAGATGTCCTAAGGCAGACAGAATCTGTACCTGAGATAGGGTTTCCTAAGGTATTGGAATATGGTGTGATTTTTTTTCCCCGAGAATGGAAACATGCCACTAAAAATGTCTTCCCACACTAAAATTACATCAGGACTAGTGTGAATCACATTCTCCCTCAACTCTTGCTGGCCTGAAGTCTGTTCTAGCACTTCACACCACTGCTCAGCTCAGTGCCCATTCCCAGCCCTCATCTGGGTGCCACGGCTAACCTCAGCTTCGGACCAGGGTTAAAGCCCTTGCCACTTGGTGACACCACCATTCCTAAATTTGGGCTCTCAACAACTGCAGGGCTTTTACTGGCTTGCTGGGCAGCACTGAACTCTACCTATGGATGCCAGACAATAATGTCTCTCTACATTTTCGCCCCTACTACTGGAGGTTCCCAAGAGGGCAGGGATCTGGTATTATTCATCTTAGTAAGACCAGTAGCCCTAGCAGCCAGCCATCCTTACTACTCCTGGATATTGCCTATGTTCAAAGTAAAGTGTGTAGAAAGAGACAGAGGTAAAGACGACAAAAGGCAAAGAAGTCTGTCTCCTGGAACATCAACACAGCCCAGGTACAGACAACTGCTGGCCCAACATCCAGATACCTCTTTTGATAAATGAAGTTTTATGGGAGCTCAGCCTACTATATCATTATTTCTATCATTTATGCTTGTTTTCAACTTACAAAGAGTTGAGTAGTTGGGACAGAGACCTTATCTGACCCTTTACAGAGAAACTACTATAGCACATGCACAGGATATAACAGACATTTTAAACTTCTGGATTAATATTAACTATACCTATACTGTAAATATTTTAAAAATTAGTCTCTTTTTCTCAAACCTATTAAATATTCTGAAAGTATTACTGACGACTTACCTAATGATTTTAAGATAACGACTTAAAGGCGTCTCTACTTGCTATCAACCCAATAACTTAATTCTGTGTAATGTGATTGGTGGTGGGGGGGTCACCTCACTATGTTGGCCAATTTGGTCTTCAACTTGTGGTCTCAAGCGATCTTCCTCTTCTCAGTCTTTCAAGTAGCTGGCACTACAGGTACCTGCCACGGTGCCTACCTCCATCAGTTAAAATTTTAAAACAAAATGATCACTCAAATGTCATAAGAGACTAATCAGGTTAAAAAAAAAACAAAAACCCAACTTTTGTCTATGTGATTCCATGGGGGAAAAACATAGGACCATAAACTAGAAGTTATACAGGCAGAGAATCAGACTTTACATCACCACCTGGGAGCACCTGAACAACTTCCGAAATGTACAAATGTCTCTAGATCCGGATCTCACTGCCTGAAATTGCCCAAAGAAAGAATGCTGTCAAGCCGGGATGCCGAAGAAAGGGCTCTTGAGAAACAAGTCTAGCAAAGGTCACTGTGACACTGCTAAGGAAAATTGTATTATCTTCAATATTAGATAAAAGAAATGGGGTAAGAGATATGAAAATGTTATCATACACTGTACCTTGCCAATGTTTCATACATTGTACGTGCAACTTCCTTATATGCATGAAAATCATATGGAATAGCTTGAAGATTAGGACACAGCTGTTTAGCATGTCCAAAAAACATTCCATTCTTAATACCAACTTGTCTAGAGAGAAAACAAGACACAACGGAAGTTATACTAAGGAAGTCTTAAACTGAAAACCAAATATCAAATATGTTGGTATTTCCCCATGCCACTAATACACAGTTCCCTTTCTCATTAGGGGTTAACAATAAGCATTAAGAAAACTTACAAGTTTGTTTCCCCCCCGAGGAAAATCACACAATCGCCTGACTTGTGTAAATGACATTTCTTGTCTGTATCTGAACACTTTTCCTGAAATTCACCTTGGTCCCTTTGCAGAGATGCCAGCATGCCATATGCTGGTGAGATCACAACCACCACAGAGCAGGAGTGTGCTGTCAAAAAGGTTTTCTTCCCCTAATACGTGGCTCAGTTTGGCTAGGGTTCATCCCCCAAAGACAAAGAATATAAACGCAAGAACTACACAAAACAGTGCTAAGTGACAAACAGACAAAATGTACTCATTCTATTACCACCCAATTCCCAATTGACCAATTCCACGCTCCTGAAGTGGCTCCACAGTGGTTGAGATGCCAACAGCATTGTATATGGTAGGACATCACTCTGGGCAGGAGCCAGGGTTCCAGAACTTTGAGGGACCTAATTGAAAATGGTAAATTTTAAATCTACTGTGTGTCTCAATGCCCCACATTACCTTTGATATTTGGAGCATTCAGCACAAAACTATAATTATGAAATTATACATAATTAGTAGTAAAATTCCATTTTATCACTCTGTAAAGAATCAAGAAAAAAATTACAGTAAAAACACAAGCAAAGTAATAAAGCAATGTTTCACCAGATTATAGGATATTACTGCATAATTTGATCACAGTTATTCTATACATTCATTCAATAAATATTCACTGTTTAGTAAAGAGGGGTCACTGACTTTAGAAACACGGATATAAATCCTCACAGGTCTCTGAACAGCCCCTCAACATTGAGAGCACCACTGACACCCAAAAAGGAAGACTCGTTCAAGCCACTCAGAAGTAAAGGCAAAAATAAAATGCATTTATATATACACATGAAGAATAAACGATCTCATCACCAAGTCCCTAGTACGTAATTATGATCTAGTAAGGGAAAAAGTGATAGCTAAGAAAGCAAGGACTGACAGTATAATAAAACAATTCTTCCATTTATCCAACAAATACTCAGTGTCTCTGTATTCTGTAAGGTGCTGGGTCATTGTGCTTCGCATGGTAACCCTGTACTTATGCAGCAAATCAATAGCTCTTGTTTGTCAATGCAAGAGAGTGTGTAAAGGACAGTGTAGGTGTGTATGTAAGAAACACAAAGCTTGAAGTTGTCAGAAATGCCAAGCAGAAAAAAAGTCTGTCATTAAAAAGGCTAAACTTCAAGTAATAATAATGTAAGATTTATAGATTCAACATATAAAATCTAAACTTACAAATTAAAGGTAATTATTCACTTTTAAAAGGAATTTGCTACGTATTATGTTCTTATATTTACAATAATTTCATTTTCAAAATTTCCATTTATACAAAAATTTTCAACAGCATAGTACTTGGAAAAATACAGTGTACCTACTTAGATATTGACCCATGTTTCCTGGAAAAAAAAGTTTAAGACCACTAGACACTACAAAGGAGCAGCAAACAAGTAAGATAAAGGTTTCCCCTAACAAAGGGAAGCCACACTAAATTTATGTTTGAGAAATTAAGATTTCACAGAAAATAAATGAATAAAGATAATCCCATACAAAAAGGTTTAAAGCGGCCCTCCAACACAACAGTTAACACGTTCCTGCCGGTATGAACCACTGTCTCACTGGGCGGCTTGTACCA